AATTTTTGTATTTAATTCATATGGGAGGTGCCGGGATGGAGGCTTCAAGACCCTCCGAATAAAAGTCCGCTCTTTTTCCTCCAAAATGCTCAGATGAATATTTAAGTTCTTCGTGCAAAATTTGAAGTATTTAGTTCTATTAGTTTCCCAGATAAACGAATTTTTGTATTTAATTAATATGGGAGGGGCCGCTCCCCTCATGGGTAGTCCGCCAATTTATTACCAAAAATGTTTAAATGGATGTTAAAGTTATTCGTGCAAAATTTTAAGATTCAAGCTGTAAACTTTCCAAGATAAAGGAATTTAATTTATATGGGAGGTGCCACGCCCTCTAATGCTAGTCCGCCTACTTTTTGTCCTAATAAAAAGTAGCCTATTACCTATTCCAGACATACAGAAATACGATGTGAAAATTTGAAAATCGGTTCAGCCGTTTAGTAGTCTATAACGTTCAAACATACAAACATATAAACATACAAACAAACACACATTCGTTTTTATATATATAGATAGGTAATATATGGGAGTTTTGACCAATTATGGACCGATAAAATAAAAATATTCGTATAATGATTTTCATTATTAATTAATGAAATATGAGCGTTTAAGTGATTTCGTATAAAGAGTTTCGTTATTAATTAATAAAATATGTGCGTTTAAGTGATATTCGGAAGTGGGCCTATCCGGAAAAAATTTCGTAGGATAATTCCTATGTACACAAAACATATTTCTGTCGAATTTTATCAATAAAGCTTTATTTGACAATGAAATATATGCGTTTAAGTGATTTTCGGAAGTGGACCTTATATAGGAGCTATTACCAAATATGGACCGATCTGGAAAAAATTTGATAGAATGATTTATATGTACATGAAACATATTCAAGTCGAACTTTTTCCCGAAAGCTTTATTATTCAAAGTAATATATGCGTTTAAGTGATTTTCGGAAGTGGATCTATAATGGACCGATCCGGGAAATATCCGGAATGATTTATATGTACACAAAACATACATATTTAAGTCGAATTTTATCAAGATAGCTTTATTTGAAAATGAAATATATGCGTTTAAGAGATTTTCGAAAGTGGACCTTATATGGGAGCTATGACCAATTGTGGATCGACACAGATCTACGTTGGTAGTATTTCTATTCATATTATATTTACATGTACAAAATTTTGTGTTGATAACGGTATACTTGAGGAAGTTATTAATGATAAACTAATTTCCGGGAATATATACCTTTGTATGAGGGCTATGAGTAGTATTGGATCAATTGTTATGATTTTGAACTTACTTGATCCCTTGCAAAAAAAAAAAAAAAAAAATAAAATAATGTGTTACAAAATTCATCGAAATATCTGCTGTAGTTTCTGAAAAAACTACTCACTAATTGAAAAAAACTTAATTTTTTCGAGGGAGTCTGAAATTTTTACTCATAACTTTTTACATCGTGAATCAATTTTTCTGATTTTCAATACCAAATTGCTTAGGACAATAAGAAATATCTTAGGTGAGTTTGGTTGATTTCCTTTGCATTGTTTTAATGTGAGCGTATTTTACACAGACAGACAGACGGACATACGGATATAGCTAAATCGACTCAGAATCTCAAAAGGACCAAGAATATATATACTTTGTTGGGTCTAAGATGATTTTTTTCTTGGTGTTACACACGGAGTTACAAAGTTATATATACCCTGATGGTGGTGGAGGGTATAATGAGTAAGAAAGTATAGATGAATAAAAGGTACCAAATGGGAACTACTGTCAATCTTCATAAAATTTTGTAATGCAGTATACGTGTATATAAAATTTATTTATGCCGAATTTTGTCGTAATACTAGTGCTTAAATGTGAATGGGGCTTGATGTATGAGACCCGTTCATTACCAAAATCGGTAGTACCATTTATGTTTTAGTTAATTTTATACATAGTGCTATTTTCTGGGTCCGGTTGCAAAGTGAAAAAATTTCCAATTTCCAAATTTCCAAAATTTCCAATAATATTCGTCTTTGGAGCAATAGCCAAATACGAAAGTTTTAAGGGAATTAATTTTTAGAACTATTCACATGTGTTTATTGAATAAAAAATACACTGATATTTTGCAGTATACTTAATAATTATTAAAATTAATTAAATATTACTCATACGTCTATTAGTGGATAGAAATTTCGATGATGAATGCTTGTGTTCAGTATAAATTTTGTAGATTTTCTATTTATTTTATTATTCTGAGATACTCATTTTCCTTCAATATATGCCCTGAATTTCAGCTGTCGCTATATTAAACTCTTTTAATATGAATAGAAATATTTAATACTAACATTCCATAATAAAAGTACGTAATTCAGCTAAATTAACTTGCAGGATCATTTTTGTATATTTCTCTTTCTAGCTAATAAAGTTAATACTCAAATGGTATTAAACGATTCCAACACTTTTACATGTAAGAGAATGACATATGCCAACATTCATAGAAATTTTTTTCTCATAATATACTCACTTATTATTACAATAAACGGAGTATAAGACATATTGTGCGTAAAAAATCTGTTAGTAGACGTATTTATTTTTTTCATTTCCTACTTTTGTTTTTGTATGTCACTGCAAACAAAAACTCACACATGTCATTGTCTTTGAGCAAAATGAATATAAAATAAGGACGTAGTAATATAGAACTATGTAAGTGTGTATGTCATTCATTATCCATCTTTCATTGTGTATAAGGTGTCATTTACATTTAAGTCAAAATTACTAGTTTTTTTTTTTTTTTTTTGTAAAAACATGATTTTGATGGGTTAGATTCCTTTTTTAATTTTTTAACTTAAGTATAAAGGTGCATGTAACTATCAAATACAAATACAAAACTAACTTATTGATGTGCGCTTAAGTGTAAGGCCGAAGGGAAATTTAAATTTTGGACAGTTTTTTGTTTTTTTTTTTTTTTTTAATTGGACTTAGTCCATTTTCTTGTCGCTTTATCTTTCAAAATTTCAAAGGGGAAAGAATATGTTTTTTATTTATATGGGAAGGAAGTTGTCAAGTCTTGCGATATATAGCAATATTTCTTCAATATAAAAAGGGTATACCAATTGGCTCAGTATCAATTTCTATGTCCATCCGTCCATATAAACCTGTTCCTTAACTGACTCGCTCGTTATCTCTCAAAGGTGGTCACATAAATTGCTGTTCTTCTGTTTTCAACGGTTTTTCGACTCACTCACACTGGTGTAATTTATAAGTTCCAGGTTATCTGCATTAACCGCTGCTTTCGTTTTACCTGAAAATGAGGTTACGTTTTGACTATTGGAGAACGTTAAAACTCTTGAACTTTTATTGGTGATGTTAAATTCAAAAGTCAGCTTTAACCTAAGCCTATTGTTTTTAAAGGAAATCGCACCCGAGATGGCGTAGACAGTATTCGTCATAATTCATGACTGACCCGTATTCCAAAATCATAAGCTTCTTTTGTGTGAATTCAGTAATGAATCACATCTACTGAAATAAAATAAATTCTTAAATATTTGGTATAAATTTTTTAAAGTTTACAAAAAATCCAGTTAGTTGTCCTTAATTAAATTTTTCTACAACTACTAAAACTGTCACAAAAAAAAAAACGTTTTACTTTTTGTTGATAAAACAAATATCACAACAACAAACGCATGCAGAGTTTGGCACACATTCCCCTACAATAAAGAGAGAAATGTTGTAATTGTTTTATTTACTTATCCCTAATAATATGCCTTGTTTTTTTGGGTGACAACGTTGATGGTCTTGGCTTGTCTAGCTTACATCCTCTGCCTCTCTAGCCGTTTTAGATTGTAAGTGTGTATATGTTTGTTAGTTTGTGAGAGCCTGTGAAAACAAGAGGGGTTTTCATTTATTTCATTACAATTCTATTATATTTTCATATCATTTATTTAATACTAAATACGTATGTCTGTCTGACTGTCTCTTTTTTGACCATTTGTTTGTTTGGGTATATATGTCTGTTAAAATGTCTGTTGGATAGAGTATGTACTTATGTGTTTCTGTCTGTATGTCTTTGGATAATTAGATTTGTCATTGTGCATTAGTTTTGATTTTATTATTTGTGCTGGTTTGCTGCTTTCGTTCTTTTTCTGTGTAGTGCCGTTCCCTGTGATTATTTTTATGCGTTTGTTATTTGACATTTTCATTTGTTTGGTTTTTTGTTGCTATTTTATTTTCCTTTTTGTATTGTGATTTTTTTTTCTGTTGGCTTTCTGTATTGTTAATTCTATTTAAATTAATTAAATGTAATAACACATAATGGTGGTTTTTCTATTAAATTAATGTCACTTATATTTGATTATATTTTAAGTACAATTTCATTTATTTTATTAATTATTTAGTCATATACAAACATATATAAATATGTATGTATATTTATAAATAACATTTTACTTACTTGTGAAAATCCTGTGACTTAATGTGTTAATAAGAAATTAATTTAATTTTGCTATATTTTATATTGTATTTTGTTATAATAATGAATGTTGTAATTGTAATTTGTACATTAACTTAATTTTATGTTTATATGTATGTGTGTGACCTAAAATCATACTTATGTGCAGGCTTTTAGAAAGAAAAGTTCTTTGTTTATTTTATTAGATTAATTTACAGAAATTAAAATTTTTGCAATTAAGGAAATTGCTAAAGTTTGTAAATATTTTTATTAAAAGAACATATCTACATACAATAGATATTAAGATTGGATTTAATTACGACAAAAGTCTTTTAACATTGGTTTATTTAATTTAATGTTTTGCTGCATTTGTATAATATACTAACTAAGTCAACAGAAACTATTTAAATGAAACTGAAAGAAATTTAAAGAAAGTAAAATTTTACGAAATTATATGACACTTATCAACAACCAGTAAACATGCAAATTTTTACTTGATGCCTCACAGATATTCTAAATATTAAAATTTGTATCAGAATTTAACTAAATTATATTTTTTTTCATTTTTCAGAACTTCCCGAAAAACGCCCTCAATTATTTACTGAACACACACGCTATGAACCTGGCGATATATTAAGAGCAAATTGTAGTACACCTCCCTCCAGACCTAAAGCCGAGCTTAAATTTACAATTAATAATATGGTGGTAAGTACAAAATCTTTACTGCTTTTAAAGTAATAATTAAAATAAAAATAATAAGTATGAGTTTTAAAAGATATTAAATTGAATTTATGTTATACATAAAAAACGTTATTTAATAAGGCAACCTACTTCTGTGCTTTATATCTAAAGGACAAACGCATCTTTCCGTACCTTAGATGCAGCCATATTTGAATTTTTGTTATTTTTATACCATACACCACTATAGTGGGGGAGGGTATTATACGTTTGTGCTGATGTTTGTAATACCTTAAAATATTGACACTAAATAGTACTAGATTTAGAATGACTTTTTGGGTCGATTAAGCTAGGTCCTTCCGACTACGTGTCTATACCCCCGGGGCATGTTTCCTTGATGATAGATCCCATCTTGGTGTATTGTAATCCCGGGGTAAAGAGGTGCTACCAGTACCTGTAGTCTGCCGGGACTATAAACTGGTGTTTACATTTTACTGCCTGGCTAGTCCTCGCATGATTTGGAAAGGGGGTCTAACTAGAGAACCACATGATCTGGTACTACGGGTGGCCAGTTGGCCACAGGAGTTGTCCTGGCTGGTCAGTTGATTGAGGTTCCTTCAGGATTTTTACATTCTTTGTTACTGATCTTTTTTTCAAGATAAGGAGCGCACAACAGGCCCGATAGTGGCATCCTCCTATCAACCTACCTACCTACTGATCGGTTCATGAAGAGGGATCCTGATTTCTTATCTTGGGTATTTCGGGCTACCAAATACGTCTCTAGGTGCTGTTGCCAAAACAACAGAAGCCAGCTCAGTAGTGTGGATGGACGACTTAAAGAGGTTCAGGAATGCACTGGGGTAAATCTTTAGATGATGAGAATGTTTATAAGTATTCCTCATAACATCAATAGGGTGTTTTCACCTGATGTTGGGTCGGCCCCTTCTATTGACTCTAAGCAGTTATTGCCTTTTCCATTGTCGGGGTTAGATTGAGCTTGCTCATGACACCTTTCCTTCCCCAATGAGGCTAACTGGCAAGAGATTAGATATATCGAGTACTTCAGTAAAGTGCTTGTACATGGACCGGCTTAGTCATATAGAAAAATTGCCACCTGATAATTTTTATTGAAGAATTAGGGGGCGATGGTAGACCGTTTACAAGGCATTCTTAACCAGTGATCGGGTCTCATATGACCCCAGCTCCCATACAAAGCCTCTTCAGAAAATGACTTTAATGTCCACAATTTACTTATAAACACTAGTACCACGATGAAAATTGGCACCAGTAAATTTTAAATAAATCCAGCCACACATTTTTATAAGAATCGGTCCAGTCCGAATTTTGATCTAGCCACCATTTAAAACCTATTTCAAAAAGCCAGTTTTTAATTAGTAAATTCCTCAAATATGTTTAAAATTCAATATTAAGACTAAATTCAATAAATATGGTACTATATAGTCGAACATATCCGGCTATACTGACTTACTTCTTTTTCTTTTACAAAACCACCAGCAAACATCTACAATAGAAATAGTTTTTTTTTTGTATTTTTTCTCTTTATTTTTTTATTTTTGCTAACAAAAGTAGATTGTCGTTTTAACACTAAACGAACTGAACAGCATGCAGACTCTTTATATTGCTTGGAAAATAATATAAAATTCAGTATTGTATTAAATAAAAATATTCTGTTAAAAGTGACCTCGTTTTTATCTAAAATTGGGGGTGAAAATCTCAATTTTTTTTAATAAATAATAGCGAATGTAAAAAATAAATTACAATTAAATTAAAAATAATATGAAATTAAATTTAAAGCCTCAGAAATTTGGAAATTAAATTCTACTTTCATTTTAACCTCTAAGAAATTATTATTATGCTACACAATTTTTAGAAACTTGTAATTCTTATTTACTTTTTAAACTTTTTCCGTCTAACAAAACTGAAATCAAAAAATTTTTTCATAAAATAATAAACTCTACACACCGCACAATGCATGTTGACTTAAAATTCTCTCCAAAGACCGCTCGTTTAACCTTAACATGTTCTTCTTTAACCAACTTCTACTTATAACTACAAGTATGTGAATGATACTTGACCAAAAACGTGGCCTTCATGTCATATTAAACGAAAGGTTTTAAAAAAATTGCTTTCTTTAACCGAACATAAGAAAAAAAAAAACTACCTTAAAATTCAATAGAATAACATTATGGAAGAGCACCTGTAGTTTACTCTAACGGTTAAACATAATCATGATCATACAGTGTTTACGTGTTTTTTGTGTCACACATTCTTATGAACATGGCTTTTTATAATGGTTATTGCAAATGCCATTACCACTACTACAACTACAACATGGTCATTGTAAGGCCCAGAAGTTTTACAAGTATTCTATGCATCCCCTCTCTTAAATATAGAACTAAAATTTTTGACCCGGCCTTTTTTTATCCACTAGAACTAATGTGGTTTAAGTTTGAATGTGGAAGCTCAATTAACTTCTTTCTATGACATGTAAATGTATGTTGAAATATCAAAAAACTAATTCCTTTTTGTGGATTAAACCCTTATAGAAAGACAACCACCCGAACTTCAGGTATATTATACAAATACATGCTTACATATTGTGTTTAAAGATGTAGTCAGCGTTGGTAACAAGTGTTCATGCAGTTGCATGCATGGAATACACTATTTTTGTTGTTTTCTCAACAGTTTATTGAAAAATTATTCGTGAATTCAAAAAATCTTAACAATAAATTTAGAGCTTAAAAATTTATCTTTATCTGAATTAGTTTCTAGATTTTATTAAGATATACTATGCCACAGTATATATAATTATTTAGAAACCTCGAAAATCGCAGGTCCGGCTTTACTATTAGACTAATTATTTATAATTTGTATTAATTTGTTTTTCTAAAATCCTGTAGCACATGGAACCAACTGTAAGTGATTATATTGCAGTAAGCGATAACTTTTACTGATAACTGTACAAGTGAATATGATAAACCATCATAAACCGTAAAGGTCTCAGCGGGCAACTTATAAATGTACTACTTTTCTAGCTGGTTGGAATGTATTATAATCCAGTAGTTTACATTTCATGTTTTTGTTATTATTGTTACTTACTTTTTCAGCAGCTAGTGCTTGTTTTGTTATTGTTGTTTCAGTTATTTTTTTTTCTTCCTCAATCAAAAACACTTCATGTGTAAAGCACTTTTCACATGCGATTTGTGTTGAAAAGCGACAAGAGACATTATTTAAAGGTGACATGGCGCAAATAAACAACAAAAACACTCACTCACACATAACTACACCCGTCACATACCTACATACATATAAGGCGATAAAAGCTACCTTAGATACACATGTATACATGTGAATAATATCCATCTCTTATAAGGAAAACCACAATGGGAAATGGGAGCCGTATGTAGTTGCAGTGCTAGAAGAAAATTTAAAGCGCTTAAACATTATAGAAGAATTTCAACAATGGAAACTGACAAATACTACTGTAATTTACAAGTAAGTTTAAGTAGAGATGCTCAAGCATAAAAGCTTGAATATCTAGTCGTGAAGAGTTTGTGTTGAGCATTTGAAATGGACACACCAGCTGTACACGTCTATTGAAAAAATGAGAGAAATAAACAAGTGCTAACACAACCAAAAAAAAAATGGCGGAGATTCTATAAGTTAATACATTTCCGCCAAACAAACATACATATTTTACTTATTAAAACTTGAAAAATGAAAAAAATAATTTTAGTTTATTCGGTTAAACTTATATGTACATATGTGAAACAGATATTAAAAAACATTGAACATTGTAAAAATTGACAATAAGTGTGATATATGAAATCTATCTACGAAATTTTGCAAGTATCGGTCAAGATATTGGAGCAAGGAATTAGAAAAATAAAAAAACACACACACAGAATTTGCAGATTTTAGTATATTAAATGTATTTTGGGCAGCAAGATCCCGCATATAATTTTAATACCCACCATCATAAAAGATGGAGATAGAGCCACAAAAGTATATATATATTCTGGGCCCTTATTAAATTCTAAGACGATGTAGCCATGTCTGTCCGTTGGTTCGTCCGTCTGTCTGCCTGTTGAAAGCACGATAGAGTTCGAACGGAAAGAGCTAGAGTATTGAAATTCACTATAGGTAAGGTTTGTTTGATATTGAAATGGGCAATATCGATCCAAAATGCTGACTCAAAAATACGTGAACAATTATGAAATATATGTATCGAAAGCTAAATTTCTCGTTTATATAAAGTACTGTACTTTTAGTAAAAGAGAAATTTTATACTTGTTTTTGTGTTAAAAGTCCATTTGTAGTCTATGTGATGTGTGGTTACTGTCTCCAAAGAGTTAATTGACTTCGTCCTAGATCTTGACCATATCAAAATAATTAGTCACTGATCGAATGGCTAGTATGGATATTAAGTAACTAGTTTGTAACTGTCTTACGGAACAGCTAGAATGACTATCACTATTTATACATTGGCATTATAACTCGGAGATCACATTTGAAGCAAGTATTAATAACACACAATTACAAGTAACTACTAATAAACAGGGAGTATAGAGACACGAAAAACGAATCTGCAAGTAAAGCATGTTGTTGTGTAAGTACAAGTTATTACCTAGTTTTTGCTGGGATATAATATACGCTTATTTTTTCTTGTTCCTTCATTCCTTCCTTATAAGTTTAGCTGTGGTCTTGTGGTGGTATCGTAGCCATGAATTAACTTCCTCTAGGGGCTACTTGCACTCATATTATAGTACACTTAAAACATTTGTCCTTGCCTTTTGTATGTAGTTCTTTTCTTATTATCGTTATTTTTAAAGGTAATAGGCCAACAGTATGTAGTACAAATGACATTTTAAGAACGGTCTTCTATTTGTGCGCTTAAATATTAGTTTTTTCTAGAAGGGAATAAAAAAAACGTAAGAACTGTGTTAAAGTGAGTTTTTGGAAAATGGTCAAACAAACAAAATTAAATATTTAATGTGAATTCTGTG